TGGGCTTCTCAGCTATCGTATTCTCCCAATGAGTCCAACAAGTAATGAAAATAGAAGTGTGATCCTATGCCACTAGTTTAATGCCAACGTTCAGCCCCAGTCAATGAGAAGCACAGCAGAGGTTAACACGCAAAATGACCTGCACTAAAATGAGTACGATTAAATTCCCTCTCCACTGGTTATGACAGAACTCCCGCTGGTTGCACTGAATTAATACACAAGGCAAAAGATATATGATGGGAAAAAAATCAGAAAGTCTGAAGCAAGCAATGAATAAACTCAACAATTAATTCAGCACATGACGTGATGGTCCTTTACAAAAAAATTGACTCTTGAAGTGCAGGCCTTCATGTCACTGAGCAAACCAGGTGAAAGCACAGAGGATTTTAAAGGAACAGGTTTCATGTTTAGCTTTTAAGAGTCAGCAATGATGGGGACAAGAAATATGGAGAATATCTGGAAAAAAAAAATCAAAATTCACTGAGTGTAGCAGGGCCTCTTTAACATGCTAGACCTTTAAGCCCATTACATTAGTGTAAACTTATGATATTCTTTAATGGAAACAGGAGGCCTTCATTGCTAAAAGTTAAAGTTATCAGAATCCAGTCGTGCATTGTGAATACTCAGTCTATAAAGGGGTTTGTTTCTTAAGGAGCCTCAAGTCAGTCATGTCAAGGGAAGGTTTCCTTGTATAAAGAACTAGGCTTGCAGATCCTCAGTTGGTGTAATCAGCGTAGTTCCAGTTAAGTCAGCAGACTGATGCTGATTTATGTCATCTGAGGAGTCAGCCACATACCTTTGAAAACTAGTAGAGGAACTTATCCAGAGTAGTATGCTACTAATAGCCTGAGCATATAAGCACCAATAATTCTAGTTCATATGATTTTGAGCCAAGATATAAAAGCAACTGTCTCGCAAGGTTTAAAATTCATATGCAACTATATAATAAACTTGAGTAGGACTTTAATACACGTTAAACATTAGAAAAATAGATCAAGACACCTATCTATTATAACCTCATGAAAGATATTTCACCTAACCTGAATCATATTTAATTAAAGGCTTGGGTTATTTTAACAGAATGTTCCACATGACTTCTTAGTTAATTACTCCTCCATATTCCGTATTTTTCCAAGTAGAAAATCTTCAGTGTCATCCTGAGCATCGTTTATCGCTTTCAAGTAGGATTTTATTTGGTTATAGAGAAGCTTGTCCTGTTATAAATCTAAGATCCTTTTTAACATTGCAGTGTAGCCTTTAAGAAGAAAAATTTGCAGAACAGACACTTTTATACGCTGTGTCTGTACTGATACACCACTGTAAAAAGAAGCCATCTTTTTAATTGTCACTGTACTATTTTCAGAAAGCAACCTCATCATTTGCCTAAGCATACAAGCATTTAAAAAAAAACAACAAAGAGATGTATCCTTTTAATCATTTGCCATCTGGTCTCTAGAAATAATGTATCAGTTTGATAATATACCATGAGGCACATATGTTCGGGTAGCCTGCACAGAGTCAGTAGAGAAGGTTAAACATTAATTTTTGTGTCTGGTGGGTATTCTTAAAAGATAACGGGAAACTCCTTTCTGCTTATATATTGTATTATTCCTAATACAAAAGTCACTAACACGATCACCAGCTTCCTACTTGTATTTCATGTTACCATGGTGTCATACATCACAACCTTAACAGTGAGAATACCCAGCATTTTCCTGAAAATCTCATCTGCCACAAAAAGATTAGGATTAGCATAATCAGCAAAACAATCAAAGGAGAATATCTTTTTCCTCAGGGGAAAAAAATACAGATCAAACAATATCTTTTTTATATTTTGGATCTCTAAAATGAAAGACCTATCAATCATATTCACCTAAAATTAGTGCATACATCATAAAATAAATAAGATACAAAAGAAAACAAAAACATGATTTAGAACACTATGTATTATATGAGCACTAAACTTGAATGCCCTTGAACTGTTCTGATACGTGGACAAATAATTTCGTCAATATATGAACATTCTGAAAAATCTATTTCATTATCAAGGTCCAGTCTTGGAAGCAGTATCACATCTCTTGAGATGTTTTAAGGTCAAATACTATAGGAATGAATATGCTCAACAAGTACAAATTACCCAATTATAATTTTCAGGATTACTCCTGCCTTTGAACAAGTTAGCCCGTAAGGTGCCATTCTGCCCTGCCTTCTACTTAACTTCATACTAACACAGCTAACTCTACTTCTCTCTATATGATTACTTTGTTAATGTTTTAGGACTACTAGAATACATTTTATAATTTCCGGGAGCATTTGTTACATCATGTTTACTTCACATAGCAAGCACTGAAGAGAAATAAATCACTTGCATTTCTGTTGTTTAATTTCAGCCAATTAGGAACAGCGTACAGGAAAAATATCTGCCTTAGATAACAAAACTGAAATGAAGAAATTATTTCTCTGTTTAAAAACTGGGACCTCATCTCCAACTTCCTTAAATGTCTTTGTTAGGTTAGAGCATTTACAGCATGTAAGCAGATGCACAGGGTGCTGTTGGTTTAGGCCACGTGCATATTCCTTCTACAGCAAGATCCACAAAACACCTTCCTTTATTTGTACATTCATTCAATTTCATAGACCACTTGTTTTTTTCTAGGCTTCAAGGTGGACTCCACACAGTACTGAGGATGCTAATGATGTTTTTGACTATTCTAGTTGTGTATCTTTTTCTAGAGATGTCAATGACTATTGATGTAATCCAACTCCCCATAGAGATGTAGATTTAGCATGTGGTCCTAAAACTAAGTTTGCTGGGTACCTTAACAATCAAATAATCATATGCCTTGCTGTAATAATCATACCACATTCTACTCGGCACTGATCAAAGTCAGTTAAGCTAGACTCATTGCACGATTTTGCTAAAGGTAAAACCTGGATCCTATCTATTTGGCCCCACCTTTTAATATTTCCATTCCAGCATTTAAATACAGAACAGATGTAAATGCTGCTGCACCCATAAAACATGTACTGTCAATCCCAGCATGACAGGGATGTAAAATCATGATCCAGCACCCAGATCCTGCTGGATCAACCAGTTCTTGCCTATAACACCCATTGCTCTCAACTGTTTTTCATCATTAGAGAACAAATATAGACACACATTTTGTTTCCCAAATACATCTCGTTGCAATGACACCCAAGATACCTGGATCCTGGCAGATCTTGTCAGTTTTTAGCTTTGGGTTGTTAAATTCTGCTGTTTAAACAGAGTACAGATTTCAATGTTCCTTCTACATCTGAAAAATCTAAACCATGAACAAGCTCCTAAATAATAACACTGACAAAAGTCATATTTGGCAACTGACTCCTGTTAAGAGTCTGGGTTCTGCCATTTTGACCACAAATCAGAGTTTGCACTGGCAAAACAAAGGCAAGTGTTGTTTCTACTCTTCCACCAAAAATCTGAGGAAATCCTGATCCTCTTCAAGTCAATAGCAACATTTGTATTGGTTTCAATGGGACTAGGACTTTGTCAAATGCATTGGTTCAAGATAGCTGAAAGAACTCAAATTTGGCATTTGCAGCCCCCTGATTTAGAGAAATCTGCCTGCATATCTCCCAGTTTTACAATCAAAACTTGGCACATACACAGCTCTCCTATTACAACGGGAATAATCCATATTCCAGATATCACGGTTCAACATATTTACCAGAAGTTGCATCTGATTTTTCTAGATTCATTCAAAGCTAAACAGATGAGTTCTAATATTAAAAGAAAAGTTATACAGCCCTCACTTAGCATAAAAGGGCCTGATATTCATACACATGAAGGCCCCTTTCCCATCACCCTGACAACAACATCAGTTTACAGGCCCTTTTAACACTCCTGTAAGTAAAAATCAGGCTTTTGGTCTACCAGTCCTTACTGTCTTTGAGTTTGGGCCTTGATGCTCTGTTGTTATTCCATCTGCCAAGGAAATAATGCCCTGACTTTTTTATTTATTTATTTTTTAAAAATCAATTAAACATGTATTTCTCAGCCTGCATGGCTTAACATACTTGAGGCCAAGGGACTATTTCCACTGCTCTATTGTTAACCTTATGTAAAATACACATAGCTAACTTTGTTGCTGTTTTAGTGGTAGGTCTACAGTTTTCAACAGAGCTGTGAAATGTTCGCTGTTACTGTTTCATTTATGCTTGTTTATTTGCTGTGCTTGTCAACTGCAATACATTGGGATGTCAGACCCAGGATTTTGCAGCACTACTGCACTGGGACACATCAGGTTCTGAATTTTAAAGGTGCAGTAGGAGCTAAAAATGCTGTGTATTTAGGCAGTGGTATTCTGCTGACTGGGAACAAAACCTGGCAGGGTCCTGCTACTTATTCCTGGTACTTGACACACTGAAATACATGAAGATCCGGTCTCCTTCAGTATAAGGAGAGCATCTGTATTTATTCTTTGTTGATGCAGTGGGCTTGGGATATCAGGACCCAAAACTGCCTTTTCCCAAGGGTCAGATCAAGATTTTTGAGGCTTGTCATGACAGGATACAACGTGGTCTAGATTTTAATTATGCAACAGGATGATTTATACTTGTTCCTGGGATTCGAGTTGGGGAAGCCACTGCCAAAAATTGGCTGGATCCCTCATGATCCAGGTGTTGAATCTGGATTTTTTTTCAGCTCGGTTGCCCCTGGTTGCAGCGGGGGTATGGATTTGTCTAATGCAATAGGAGTAGCTAGCCTTGTACCCCAATCAGTTAGAGAGATTCAGGCTGAACCCAGTAAGATCCAGCTTTTATCCAGACCCAAGGGTTTTGCTTTCTCCTCGATTTATAAAACATATGCAATATATGGTAGGCTGCCTGCCTCACCCCTAGCAAAGCCTGGGGATAGGGGGAAAGCTTCAGAGCTATTTCATGCCATTGACAATGAAGGTGCTGTACCCAGAGCAATGCCTTCCAAAGCCATATGCTGTCACAGTGCAAACACTCACCCAGTCCTCGAAGTGACGGCTCCCATTCTGCAGCAAGTCCTCAAACTGGATAGTGCAGTTAGCCACAAAATCATCGTACCCGATGGGGGCATCGTGGAAAACAGCCATCTCAATCTTTCTGCCATTGCACACGTCGGTGACAAATTCATCATTCCAGGAAGGGCTGTTGGTCTTTTGCTTGGTAGAGGTCTGCCCGATCCTGGAATCGTCCACGTTGAGGGCTATGTAAGGGTCCAGCAAAAAGGTCTGTGGTCTGGGACCCACCGCATGCCTCAGGGACCAGGCTGTGGGTTTCAGATTCACCGCCTCGCAGATCTTGATTTTCAGCAAGCCATTGAAAACCACCATGGTTGGGTGGCTTCACTTTTCCTGGGATGCAACACACACAACACACGCACACAGGGAGGGAGGGAGCTCTCACCAATAAATAGGAGGTCACGTTTGGGGTGGGGGTGGGCAGTGTGGGGCTCTCTCCTTGCTGCTGCTGCTGCTGCTGTTACCTCTGATTATTTAGCCTTTGCTCTTGCGACACCCAGTGAATACATATATTTTCTTGCCTGTATTTCTAACGGAAAACAAGGGGGGGGGGGCAGAGGGGAGGGGGAGACGGCCGTGTTTGCAGAAATCCACAATGCAATCAAAATCCGAGCATTACTAAATCCCTGGGGTGAGGCAGAAGACTTTTCCCTTCACCTAGATCATAATCCTGGATCAGTCTGTGCAAAGGAGGCAGAGCCGCGATCCGGGGCTCTTGCACACGCTAGGACTGTCTGTGTGCAGCAGCAACAATGCACACACACACACACGCACACACGCGCGCGCGCGCGCGCACACAAATCAGAAACACCGAGCCAACAACCAGCCCTGCCTACTTCACAGCCGCCGAGCAGAAAGCACACAGCCGGGGACCTTACATCCGCATAGGATCGAGGAGCCTCCTCTCCTTCTCCTCCTCCTCCTCCTCCCCAAAGGCCAAGGATCCAGTGGATCGACTCCAATACATGGGGAGAGACTGCTCCGGATCCGGCTGCTCGGAGATTGCAAGCGGCATAGGGTGGCCACCGCCTTCTGGATGGCTCGTGGGGCTGGCTCGCTTTGGTGCTGGGCTGAGTAGCACCACCCCACCTCTCTGTCTCTCTCTCTCCCTCTAATGCAGGAAATGCGCAAAAGACGTCAGTGTGTGTGTGTGTGTGTGTGTGTGTGTGTGTGTGTGTGTGTGAATAGAAAGTTTTGCCTGTTGGGGGAGCAATACGGTAAAAGTGAGCACGGAAAAGAGCAACAGCTACAAGCAAGTCAAGCACCATGTCTGGGGTCGTGAGTCGTATGAACTTTATTAGCGTTTTCCTGCACCTTCATGGAGTGGGTTGTTTTTGGGCTGGAGTGGTTTGTGCCCCCCCAGTCCTCCAAGCTAAAAAGCTGGGAAAAATCTAGGCCGGGGGGGGGGACGGGGGGACGGGGACCTGATCCTCTCGCTCCGGAGCTATGCAGCTGTATTTTGTCACTAAAAACAATTCCTCCCCCAATGAAGCCTGCAAGTGTCTCCCCATCCCCTCCCCGGCCACTGGCGTTGGGATGACTTGTTTTCACTCTGCTGGGGATGATCGCAAAGACATGCCCGGCATTTCCGCGGCTGCGAGACTACATGCAAGCGTACATTTGTGCCAGGCTACCAACTGGGCCACGGGAGACGAAATATTTCTCGCCGAGGATTTCCCATTGGGCTGCGGTGTTTTCTTTCCTCTGCTCTGCTTTCTTCCCTCCCTGCAACAAGAAAGTCCCAGCGGGCCCGCTTGGCACTCCGCAGCCTGCGAGCAGCTGGGTCTGACAAATGCCTGCCCAGTGTTTGGGGCTCCTTTCCCTTTTCCCCGCTCTGATCATCCCCGACAACATTCACCCTCGGCTCCGAGCCGCGAGCAAATTCACCAGAATGTGCCTGTTTTCTGCCAGTGCATCCTTCCAGGCCTCCCATTGGGCCGTGGCAGCAGCAGAGACTTTGTGACGTCACAAAGGGGCCGAGCTTGGGTTTCTTTAGGAAGAATTTCCTCTCGGTTGGTGCGCGCTGGGAAGCGAGCTGGGAGCCGAGGGGAAATCGTCCTCCCAGGAAGAGCTGCAAGGCAGGGAACCTGGACTCTGCTGCAGAAGGGGAACAAAAGACGGGGCGAAGAAGTCAGGGGACTGCAGTTTGCAAACGCGATTTCCCTTCCAGATTTGGTGAAGGGACTTGAGAAGGAACACCGCCAGACATGTGATTCTACCACCCGTGTTAGGACTGCCAGCCAGAAACACCCACAAAACAATTACTTTATATCCCGTTCTAGTGAAGCAGACTCTGTCTCTCTCTTTTTCGGCTCTTGTTCATCTGTCAGACTTCCAAGCACATATGGTCTCAAGTTGCAGCAAGGGAGGGTTAAGTTGGATATAAGGGAAAACTTTCTCACGAGGGGGGTGGTGAAGCACTGGAATGGGTTACATAGAGAGATGCTGGACTCTTCATCCTTGGAGGTTTTTAAGGCCTGGCTTGACAAAGCCCTGGAACGATCTAGTTGGGGATGATCCTGCTTCGAGAAGAGGGTTGCTATAGCAATGAAGTTTGGCGCTGAGGGCAATGCCCACAGCAGCAGCAGCCTGCCCTTGCCCTGTGCACAGATCTGGGGCACCCTCCCATGCTTGCCAAGGAGTGCATGCAGTGGCAGGAGTCGCCCTTCCCTCATCCCCATGCCCCCACAAATGAGCCACTCACAGCTCTGTCCCACACCCCTTTGCTTCTGTGCCCAAGGCACTCCCCTCCCCTTGCTGCAGGACTGGCTGGACTACATGACCTCCTGAGGTTCCTTCCACCTTCATTTTCTATGATTCTATGATATCTTATCATCAACAACTTTCACATAATAGTTCATCTGTTAAATAACTGTGTGCAGTTTTTCTCAGCTACCTGTATCCATTCATGAACAATGAAGAAAAATACCAGGAGGAAGAACCTGCTTAACATGGAGGTTATTGAAAGTAAAATACAAAAACAAACAAAAAAGCCCAAACAAATAAACAAAAAACCTATGCCACTGTTATGGTTAAGATTCTCTTAAAACTATCTGCCAACTGTACCTATCACCATACTGGAAGAGGGTCTTGCAATCAAAGCAGCTGGAAAATAGTGATAGAACAGGCTTTCAGAAAATGTTGCAGTGCCCAAATTATCCAGCTGTGAAATTGCTAGCACTGATGTAACAGTCATGATCCAAGCCCAAATCCCGCAAGCACTGTTACAGGTGAGTAGCAGACAATTCAGAAAGCTCTGGGTCCCAGAATTTCATTTAGTCTTCCTTTGGTAATACTTATTAGGCATGAAGTACAATCATTTTTGTGTTGTAGGAAGATTTGCAGCTAAGAGACAGATCTTGGACATGTTGATGGTAAGGTTCCTTCTAATCTCATGGAGAAAGGAATTGCAGATTTGTAAATTCATCCTCAAGGACATTTTATTTTTAATTCTCACAAATTTAAATCTTGTGGTGGGCAGCCCCAGTAGTAGTAGCAAAGTTTTCACGGAAATTCCTGATATTAGAGACAGAGATTGTCCTTTAGGCATCCTGCATTCAAGAGAGCTTTGGAGTTGAGCATCACGACCTTGATCTGTTCCTGTCCAGGGCTGGAGAGCAAGTACAGTGACCAGGGGAGATAACAGTGTATTTCTGCTGACAAGTGTTGCTGATCAGGCAGGTTGACATCATATCCTGGACCTTAAAGAATAGCTTCAGGATTTGCAGATTAGTTCCTTCAGTTTACGGTACTGCATAAATGGACACTAACCTGCATGAAAACTTGACTTAATACTGCAAACAGTGGGGGAAAAAGCATTTCTAGAGCCCATTGCACCTGACTAGTGAAAAGTGCAGAAGGACTCGGTGCTAATTACCATTTTAACAGTACCTGGTTAGAGTTCCTGGACTAGATCATTGACATGAAAGCAGTCTGATGAAACGGTTTTCCTCTGCCACTCAGTGCCACACCTCTAGCATGCTTAATTTCAGTTTCAGACAGCTGTGCACATTTATGCCCCTATTTCAGTTAGGCATGGTTGTCACAGGGAGATTCCAGGTGTATCAAAGTCAAGAAAGTTACATGTATGGAGGGCCATACATGTATCAACACTGTTTTTTTTTAAATTAAGCAGCTGCTGATTTACCTAAAAGACACCTGAAAAGTATCTTTAAAGTTCAGTTAATTCAATAATAATTCAAGACACTTGCTTCAGATATTCCCCCTCTCCCCAAAAAAATCATCCATCAGAAAAAAATCAGCTTATCTCAAAAACTGTAACTCTCAATAAAGGGAATTTTAGTTATATTCATCCCTCCTCCCTTCTGAAGGGTATTTAAGCACTTACTAGTTTGCTTACTTGTATCTTCTGCCCCTTTATCATGGGATCAGAAGACTTTGATTCTCAAAGAAAGAGTTGAAGAGCTAATAATATCTCTCCTATCCAATATGGAACTCAGGGCCAAAATTACATGAGAAATGGCGTATTTCTAATGCAAAGAAACATCAGGACTCAACATACCACAACCTCCATGTAGCTCCTGATGGCAAAACCCTTTTTTCAGGCTTTGCTTGTGAGAGCAAAATTTGACCCTTAAACAATTATAGCAAATAAATACTGTAAAACAGTATCTAAGATAAATCATATTTATGATTCCCATTCAGAGGCATATTCACAATGAGGGATTGTAATATAAATAAGATAAATAGAACAAGATGACTACACAGCAATATTTCAGCACAAAGGAGTGTGTAAATAAAAACTTAAAAGGAAAAATAAGAATATTTTTATTTCTGCTAGATTTGTTATAATAGCAAGACCAATAATAATAGTATGTTACCATTATTACTGTATATGTTACTAAATTATTCAAAATTATAATTTTGCAATCTAAACACTTATGAATACAAGTAGTTTTGTGCAGCTTGAGTAACATTCTCAGGTTACTCACCTGTAGCAGTGCTTGTGGGATTTGGACTTGGATCATGTTACATCAGTGCTAGCAATTTAACAGCTGGATAATTTGGGCACTCTGCAAAATTTTGTCAGAATACAAATCAGGTTATGTTTATATGCATTTTAAATGTAAAGCGACAACAATATTAAACTTGCAATGAGACATCAATTAAAATGTGGTCCCATACAAAGAACAGGCTTTACATATATCTTTTTCTCCCCTACATATCCAAGCCCTTACTTCCCCTTCCTAAGTTATAGCAGCAGGAATATAAAAAAAGCTAATTAACTACACAAACTGTTTGTTGCCTTGAGTCAGCCCCTGACCTTCTCATGGCCTATGAATCCCAAATGGCTCTGTGGAGAAACAGCACTATCTAGTGGAGGGAGTGTGCAATGTCCTTTCAGAATTTGTAATAAGTTTTATTCACCACTAATGCTATATAGTCCCTATATGACAGTGCTAGAGCATTTGCTAAGGGGTTTCAGGAAAGTGTTTTCAGCCAGATTTCACAATCACATAAACATACAATCACCAGCAAGTGGCACAGGAAAACACAACTAGGACAGTCTTGCCAATGTGAGGACTTTCTTGTAATCATAATTGCTGAAAGTTTTGATAAATGAGAAAATATTTTCAGGGCTTTCCAGTTATGCCATGTTGAATAAGGAAGGCTTAAGAAAATATGTCATGTTGAAACATACACCTTACCTATGAACCTCTTGACTGACAAAGTTCAGCTCCGAATCCAGTTGCAAACATCACAATTGATCCTTCAAAGAACTATGGATATGAAGAAGCTTTACAAGTGTGCGCAGATTCCACTGAATTTGATGGATCTGCTTGGACATGTGAGATTACATGTGTTTGAGTGATTATAGGACTGTAAGTTCTTTGCAGAAAGAACTGTTAAGAATCAGTGGAAGATGGTGGGTGCAGAGCACTTTTAAAAATAAGTTAGCCTACAGGATTATTTTCACTCCTCCATGCTGCAGAGGAGTTAAGAGACACACTGATCACTAATTCATATTCACAAATGAAGGAAAAATCCCTTGTCTTTCCTTTCAGCCTCCCTTGTTTCAATTCAATTCTCAGCTCCCTTCCTACAACCTATTCTGTTTCCAGACAATTACTGATTAATCTTTCCACTACCAATAATGTACCCAGGGAAAGGTACCTAAGGGAGTCTTAATTTCTTGTCTGAAACATCTTAGGGAAAGAAAACCTTCTCCTGTTTGTGGCCAATGCCCTCCAAGTCTTAATTTTGTTTCATTGTATTTTCAGCCCTATGCTGTCCTCCTTTTAAAAGGATATTTTAAATGATGTATCAATGAATGCAATCTCACAGGGAAAATTCTCTCACAGTGCGGAAAGAGGAACATTTATAAGTTTTAAGGGGGAGCAATT